TTATTTCTTCTGTCCTCCCTCCGGAAAAATAAAACACTCACACACACACACACTTGTAAAGAATACATAAATAAAATTATTAATATATGCGATTAAGAATTAAGTTTTTGTATCCTAATTATAAATTCAATCAAATTAAAATGTTGTCTTTAATAAATTAAACTTTTGTTCTTTTTCATTTAACCCCACCCTCCTCGTTCGTCACCCCCCTCACACCTTCCCTCTCAAATTGCGCACAAAGGTTCCGCCCCGGGTAATAGGGATTCAATTCCTTGACCCAAAAAGGGAACCACGAGCGGTTGACTTGTTGACGGAGTAAAAACGACTCTTCCAGTCGCTGACCCGTCGCAAGTCCTAAACGTGCCGCTCGGCTCGTGCGGTCAGGTCCGTTTACATCGATCGCGAGCCTAACGAAAAAAATTCTACATCTATCTTCTAATAATGGTATCTTAATTCTATTAACGCACGTTTGCCATTTAACGCTATGTTGATAGTAACAATATTTATTAATGCTAAATAATTAGTTTCTTCCAGTTTAACTGGGAAATTATCTACATGTTCGTGTTCTCTTAGTATTGAAAATAGTCTCTCAGGTGTTAAGACATATGGTTTAATGATACCACGTTTGGCATCGAATATCAAGTCTTCTACGTTATGTATTTTTTCTTGTAATTCGTTAAGGGCAATTTCCAAGTCTAGCATAATTTCATCAATTCTTATGTTTAACTCGTTAGTTTTTGATAAATCTCGTACTTTATTAAATTGTTCATTTATACGTTCAATTTGATCTCTTGATCTGTTTAACATTGCATTATTTGCATTAATCGCATTTAAGATGATGCTTGTTTGATTGTTAACATAATGAATTATTGATTTTTGATCGTTATAAAGACGATCTAACTCATTATCGTAATAGGTAGCATCTGAGGTATCCAAAGTACCAAACAATGTTTTGCTTACTTCCCCTACGAAATCGAAAATCCCGCGCCTTACGCGTGAGGAGTTGTTAAGTCTTATGCCCGCTAAATAGAAAGCGTTGCGTAACTCTCCCCTGACGTTGCTAAGATTTTCTATTCGTTTTAATAGTCTCTGATAAGAGGAGCATGCAACTTAATATGAGACACCTGTTGTTGACGTAAACATAAGTCAGTGATTGTTTTGAGATATAAATTGTTTATCGTTTCTAGTTCTTCCACAATACGAGCAAAGTCGTAACCTATTACAATTTTCAAATTTCCAATTTTTCTTCGTGAAAGATTCGCGTTTTGCCTAAATATTCGAAGAAGATTGTTTCCGTAGCACCGAGTTTTTGTATATTATATTTGTTATCTTGTGTTCTGTTAGCCGTTAAAGTCATGATTATAAAAATGAGCAATAATGGAGTTAGCAGTAAGTTCGTTCTTTTATCCTTCTTCATCTCCTTCATCTTCTGAAATTATTAAATCTCTATGTCTAAATATTTTTACATTAGTTCTATGATGAGTAACCAACCTTCCGTGTTCATTCACGATAATAGATTGATTTGGAAGAATCCTTTCTACTTTATATGGTCCTTTCCATCTAGCTTGAAGTCCTGAGGATGTATAATTTCTAGTTAGGACTTTGGAGTTGGGTAAGATTGGTTCGAGATTTTCATATGAGGTAGAGGGTTGTGAGTCAATTATGTTTTCTTTCGCTTCCTCTAAAATTTGTTCGTGTTTATATTTTTTATTCTGGATTATCTGTTCGTATGTCTCGTCTTCGTCCATTTCCTCTAGGATCGAGTTCGGCTCATATCCGAGTTGTAATTCAAAGGGTGTATATTTCGTGGTACGATTGATTGTCGTGTTATAAGATAAGGTAGCTTTAGGTAATACTATATCCCACGGCTCTT